ATTTAGTTTTCTAACTATTTTTTTAACAAAGATGATTTGTATGAGAACAAATTTGATTAATTGGGAGATTTACATAAAACAATAATTTTAGTTAAATTCGTGTTATTTTATATAAAAACTTTTTTTTGAATAGAGTTGACATAAAAATTCAGATTAAAGAAGGACTTCGAACGCTTTGAGCATGACCTACTCATGGATGTTTGTAATTGCACTGTAAAAAAAAGGATACTCAAATTTCGCAAGACGTTCTTCGTTTTTAATGAATGGTAAATGCTCCGAAAGAACATTTCGTCAAAGTGGTGAAATAAATATCGTTACTTCTTCGAGGAAACAAATTTTGTTAATAATAAAGAAATATTTAGGCATTCCATTTTTTTGCCAAAAAAGGAAATGAAAAAACAACATGTAGTACTTAATGCACCTAACTTAAGTAATAATTACTTTACTGTAGGCACCATATTGCTGTTTCGTATGAAGAATTATGACGAGAACAAAACTCAAACCGGGAAATTATTAAAGGAATTGAACTTGTACGATTTTCGTCAGTGAATAATGTTTCAGTGCCTTTGAAGTTTGAGACTTCTGCTTTTTAAAAGTTTATGGGGCGAAATCCTAATTTTTTTTTAAAAATTATTACATAAAAACGTAGACAACTAATCCCTCATCCACTAATAGTCAGAATGCAATTTCAATCATAATGCTTTTGTATTCGCTTTGCGAGTTTTTTCTACAAATTTCGTACGCTTAGCTGCAGGAAAATGTGCTTTTTTAAACTCGATCTTCTTTATATGTATCAAGTTTGAGAACAGAGGTGCATTAAAATTGGTATTTCTAAAAAGATTCTTTTTGTTTAACTTTTGGGCAGAATCCTGAGCAATAATTTCCGTGGCACATATATGGCAAAGAATAATGAATGCTCAAATCGTCTGATTATTGCTTATTTCAACTTGTTTTGAATTAACGGAAATCTATGTATTTTAAATTCTGGTGCAGAGAGAGAAAAAACTCACGTTACTAAAAGAAAAGTTTACTATACATAGTATTTTTATACTCACATTCGTAAATGAAACCATGAACGCAAGTCTTTTTAGAAGAAGAATTATTGATTGCTATTTAATTAAACGTTTAAAGAACATATTGTGGTTATCGGAAAAGTATTTTACTTTAATTATAACGGTCCGAAAAATTAACTACCATGAGTTGAAAGACGTTGTATGCCGATTCCAGCAGGGGATTATTCATCTTCCACTTTTACATTACCACTGGCCTCTGTTAAGCTTAACATGTCTGAGGAAAGGCACACTTAGGAAGAAAAAATTAGAGCAAACCTGTTTGATGCATGTTTCTGAATCGCAATGGCAAGTTACCTTAGATCGCCAAATTTTTATCGCCAAAACAATCAATCAATCAATCAAATCTTTTTTTATCACCAAACTATGATAATATAGAAATTATTTCAAAGAATTAAAAAATAGACAGAGTGATCTATTGAAGTTAAGATTAAGAAAATATTTTAATTTGGAACATTCGGAATTAGACACTTTAATTCGCTTCTCGATTCATTGTTTAGTTGGGTCTAAAAATCTGTCTAAACTTATCTAACATCTAAACTTATTGAAATGCTTCTACAGACTTTGTTCTTCAAAATTTTTAATAAATTTTAATTCCGTTGGTTTTAATCCTAGACAAACAATGTTTTGATTTTTGTTTAAAGACGTATTCAACATTATCTTGTGGTTATTTTTTTATTATTATTCTACGAAGTTTAGTTCCCCAAATAGAAAATAAAATCAATTTCGATTTTAATATTGGAAGTTGTACAGAGTATGTGTATACTTCTTGCATTTTCTAACTTTTAAGGTTGGAGGTAAAACTATCGTCTCGTTTGATAATACATTGCGATCATTGCGAAAACTGATTTAAAGAAAAGGACGTAAAATATGAAATTGCATCAAGAACTAATTTTCAACTAATACTAATAAATCATAATCATACTAATTGAAAATGCGAAGTATTTCAGACAATGAATTTCATAAATAGCCAAAAAATCAACAGTTTCTAGAAATATCTAACTAAAAATATTTGTAAATAATATAAATTAATTTTCCTCTAATTTTGTTGCTTCTATGTAACATTTAAATTATCAACAGAATTACGTTCTCCCCTATTTTACGACCAGTAANAGAAATATCTAACAAAAAATGTTTGTAAATAATATAAATTAATTTTCCTCTAATTTTGTTGCTTCTATGTAACATTTAAATTATCAACAGAATTACGTTCTCCCCTATTTTACGACCAGTAAACAAAGTCGTAATATGTCTCAGATTAGTTTCTCATGTTTTATCATATTTTCAAGTTCAAAAAAATAATTAGGATAAATCTCGTACAATGAACAAAACTAGCTTCGAGAAATATAAGTTAAGCAAGCGTATCTGATGAATATTCAAATTTCTCTGTGGTAGGTTTCTTATAGATTGTAAATTACGGCCAATATTTATTTGATAGGGTTGCAATGATGATGTAAAGAAAACGTGAGGTGAAATTGAAAAATCGTTTAGATTTTAAATTTCAATCCTCTTATTTTAAGTTAAATTGATGATCATTCTAATTTTTAAATGTTCAATTGAATTTTTTTCAATGAGCTTCTAATCACTCAGTAGAATTCAAAACATGAATGTAGATAAATTTTTCTGCAACTATTTTGTATTTTTTTCCCGTAAATAATATTAGGAATCGATGTTCTAAATATTATAATAGTCTTGTTTAAACTTTGGATTTGTTTAAATACTAACTTATATATTTAATAAATTTTTTTGTTAGTTTTATTTTTAAAAAAAATATATAGAACAATTTTAAACTCTATACGCATAATAAGATTTCTATTTCTTTAGTAATTTGCATATATTTACTCGAATTGGATTAAACAAAATGTTTATATAAAGTTAATAATAATAAATATAATTATCATTAATAATTGTTTAACAAATTTGAACGCGGAAGGAAAATTGTCATATTCTTAGATAATATGTCTGATCAAGCCTTTTTAATCTGTCGTTTTATTTTCTCGCAATTATTACAAATTCAGATTAAATATTATTATTTTCTAAACAAGGTAAACATCGAAACATATTTAAAATGTCATTATTTCTCAATTATATTCATTTTACCGGCATATTTTACTGATTATCTTTTAAGATAAAATATTCCGTATTTTTCGCTTGAATGAGAAGTATTATTTTCAAATTTTACAATTTTTCGTGCTGCGTTGTTTCATTGAGATGTAATTAGTTTATCACAATCGGATGACTGAAAGATGTTTAAATGAATTTAAACATAGTTGATTTTATCAAAATTTAAGGAAAACAGAACCAAAAACACATTTTTAGAAAATAATAATAAGGAAAAATTCTTTTTGAAATATTCATTCTTGCATTATGCAACAATTCTTGCAAACTCAGAGAGAAGATCAATATGTTCTCTATCTCTGTAAGCATCCAAACTCATGTAAAACGTCATCTTTATCCTCTATTGTATATTTTACAGATAAATTTTGCTTTTAATAATAAAAATGTTTAGAAAGAAGAAGATACCATTTTCCTCATCAACTATATACTATTTATTTCTAATTTGAACTATTTTTTCCCATTTTTTTATGAAAATTAGATGAAATAAATTGTTATTTCTGAATAAGTAGTACTGTAAGAAAATTATATTTTTAATTACATCGAAGTATGTTTAAAACAATATCACGCTTTTCGATAACATATTAGTTGAAATTAAAATGTTTAAAATTTCAGGCTTTATTATTACTGTTCGTGCAATAATTTTCCAGTGTAGTTAAAAAATCTGTATATTTAACATGCTGAGAAAATTTTTTTTCAACTACATATTCATTTTGATCATCGACATATTCATTCTACTACATATTCATTTTGATCAACTACATATTCATTTTGACCTTCATTTTGATCTCAATTTGATAGATTGAAATTTGACATCCAAATTAATCTAAATTTAAACGCAACTGTTTATAATTACACTAAGGTATATATAAGATGATATCATTTATTAGTTTTGATAGCACTTCTATAGAAAGTTTAGACGAGAACTCCATTCAAATAAACGTTTCAAATACCTAATTTTTCTCCGAATATTTTTATTTTAAATATTGACCAATTTTTTATCATTTCATTTCGAGTTCCCATACAGAAATAATAGATTTATTTAAATATTGATTAACAAAGACATTGCAAGCTTTAGGTAAACTGAATTTTGTGTTAATAAAAAAGACAATTTCAATTCTGTCAATTTTATCATCTTCAATCATCTAAATATTTAAAATTCAAAACATTAATTGAGATCTTTGTTGACATCTAAGTCTACAAAGAGTAAGTTAAAAGTTCATACCTTTAAATTGAATACTAATTACGTAATAAATAAATTTTACTAAACATTGGTTACTCATTTTAAATTTAAAATTCTTTTAATCTACTTTTTTTAAGATATATTTTTAGTAATTTCTTTTTTTTCTCGGGAAAGTTGAATTTTTTTGTTATTTTAAATATCAAGTGAGCATTAAACAGATAATAAATATTTAATATATATATNTTCTCATTTCTGCACTGTGAGATATATATATATATATATATATATATATATTTCACTATAACAAATTATTTTTGAGATGAAATGTTAAAAATTTTTTAAACACGTTTACCAAAAGATTTTGAACGTAAAAAAATAGCACATTTAAATTTAGAAATAGGTAAAGTAGTTAAATTACAAGTTTTGTTTCTCGGAATTTTAATAATATGTTTATAATAGGTTTGTTAAACGGAAATATTAAAAACTTATTAGAAATTTTAAGAAAATTATAAATACTGACGCATGCATGCAAAACAAATAGGCCAATTTAATGTGTTTTATAAAATGCATAAATTATGTAATTATTTCATTACAATGCGTACAAAAGTGAGAACAAACAATAGAACACTTACTTAAAAGAATAATTTGCTCTTGAGTTTTAAGACAATTTTCTCGGTTTTATTTCAACGTCTTTCAAGTATTCCATTTGTCTCGATTAGGAAAAACACGTCGAACTCGATCAGTAACATCTCCTTGCTGTAGACGATATTCAGTATATGTCTCAATTTGTCTTAACCAATAAATCGCAACAAAAATCGCTTGCGTTTGTCTTTCCAGTTTATTAGGATAAGAAAAAGCAAAGAGAAGAGAATCACATTTCTAGTTTATTGTAGAATCGTCTGCTATGAGAGTCTTCGTTCGACTTTCACGCAGATGGCGCTAATGTAGCTGAATGGAAGAACTCTTTCAAAAGTCACGTGTTTTAAAGATTAATCTGAACCTCAGCTATTGCTTGTTTTGGTGTTATTTCCGTGTTGTATCCAATGGCATTCCATCACAGTCATCCGCAATATTTAAAGTTTTGACTTGAAAAACTAGAAATAAAAATAATTCACAATTTTTTTTCTGTTTTATTGAATAAATACTGCTGCTAACAAATCGTTGATACAAAAGTTTTATTATCATATTTTCAAAATTAAATTATAATAATAATGAAAAAAATTATAAGTTCACGACCCTAGAATTTGAAATATTTTTACAGTGAAATAAACTCTTATTTACTGTCTCACTTATTACCATACTCACTCTACACATGAAGAATCAATATTAGTTGTTTCATTAAATAAATAGAAAAAAATCATAAATTTTCATAAAGAAAAGATGATCTTTGCAAAAATTTTACGACGTAACTTAAATTTGAAATTCAATAACTATTGATTATTTACGTTTCAATTGAACTTTATTTTTGGCTTTTAAGAATGAAATTAATTTTGCGACGTAAATTATTTGATATTTGTTTGAAATTTTTTTGATTAGAAGAAAAAAGTGGTTTTATAATGTTTTGAATATTTTATTTGCTTAAAAATTGATAATATGAATGTTAGAGCATTGGAATTTTGTGTAACTGGAAATATATAGGGAAATGGGTTTGGTGTTAAGATATAGATTACAGTCAAATAATTCATTTAGAATTTGTATGGAATAGTACATTAAAAAAACTAGAGAGATCAAATATGAGTAATTTAATTTACGTATTAGTAGAATGCAATTACTCTTTTGATCATAATTTTTTTTCTTCTTCTTTTAATGTAGGAGGATTTTAGGATTATTTCTTCCTTTATTTTTTTTGTACAAAACATCATTCAGATTACTCATAATTAGGAATTCTTTTAAGTTCAAAAAACACTTTTTTCAATATTTCGAAGCTAAAGACATAATTAAACACTTAAATAGAACTATAATCAGTATTTAAGATATTTTAATTAAGAATATCATGTTTATTTTCAAATTATCATAGAAAAAAACTCTGTATTTAAAAGTTTTAGATGCTTAGTAAACTTACTATTATAATTAAATATAAAAAAAAATTAATAATCAATTTTAAAATATTAGTAAAATAGATATTATTTAAAATATTATAAAGTTAAGTTTTGTTTATTATTATTTTTAAATATTTAAGAGTTGCACTTGCGATTACTCAGTTTCATTTAATGCGCATAAACTGCAAGAACATACAACCATAAAATGAGATAAAAATACAAAGAAAACATGTAAAAAATGTGTATAAATTTTTAAAAGAGAGGAAGAAAAAATATTAACAAAAATATATTTTTTAAAACAATTGTTTAAAAATAAAAATAAATTAAAAATTAAAAGTCGGAAAACAAAATAAGGAAAAGATATAATCACGTCATAACTTCACACGTTAATATCCACACGATATAAAGAGTGCTTTCAAATATTGCATTAGTTTAGCCAAAGCAAAATATAGCCACAGCAATAATGGAGGAAACACTTTGATATTTTGACTTTATTTCTTAAATTTCTCAAAAAATAGTTAAAGAATTATTTTGTAACTTGAAAGGTGTTTAGTTCATGCGATTGTTCATACTTAGCAATGAGCTTTAAAGCTTTCAGAGGTTTGAAAGACCTACGAAAGAAAACAAGTATTTTTCCTATGCCAAGAAATGAAGCAAAAATCTTGTAACTGGTATCGAATACTTTAGTTGTTATATTTAGTAACTGCATGAAGTAAACCACGAGCTAATATTTTTGGAGATATGGACATTTTTATAAAAAAAAATAATTTTTTGTCTCTCGTTTCCTTGTTATAATTTCATAAACATTCAATGGGATTTAACAAAATGTTTGGGAAAATTTAAGATTAATTACAAAATCATTGATTAAAAATTTAAAAAAAAAATCGTTAAAAATTTCGTAGAGAAGAGTATTTTAGCCAGTTCTTCTATATTCCGCAGGCGCAGACAAAATTTAAAAAAAAAGCTTTTCATAATTTTGTAGGGAATCCTATTTGGCGAGTAATGATAAAAACTTTATTTGAGCATGTTAGAAATTTAAAAAAGTTTCAAGCACTTTTCTAAGTAGTTTTTGTACTTTTTAAAGGAAAGCTAAAACCGATAAAGTTTTATCCACAAGTTTCATATTGTACTATTAAACAAGATTTATTAAAAATGAAACCAGTTATGTCAGGGCATTGCAGAATACCCTCCCTCCCCATTAAAAGTATGTCTCGTTTTGCATATTTTATTTCTCTATACAATCAAAGTTCAGTTACCGGACGATTTTTATAAAGTATTATCATTTGTTATTAAATTCGGCCTTACGATGCAAAATAAAATTGTGAAAAAATCCTGATCGTTTTGAGCTTTCATTGGAAAAGTACAGAAACTACTTTGAAAATTACTTGAAACATTTTTAAATTTCTGAGATACTCAAATCAAATTTTTTTATAACTTGAAATATACGATTTACTACAAAATATTAAAAAGAAAGCTTTTTAAAATTTTTCAGTGAGTGTTTAGTATAAAAGAAATAGCTTAAATACTCATAACTCCTTGTTCTCCTTTCCTTGTTTTCTGGATTGGTTCAAAATTACAAGGCAAAGTTGAACATTAGTTGTCGTAAACTCAAAATAGAGTCAGCTGTTTAATGACTGTTATATATATAAAAAAAAACTCTAGCAAAGCACTTGTTAAAATTTTGAATTTTATAAAAATAAATACTATAGCTCAATTATTATTTTCAAATCACTGAATTGATTGATTGATTTCAAAAATATATTTACGCAATTTCAGTACATGATTCTTGAACTAATTGTTATAGTTTATAATCAGAAAAAATATATATATATTTCAGACAACTATTTTTTACTTTAAAAAAGACATTAATGTTAAATATAATATAATATAATATATATATACTAGGAGGCTTCGCCCCCTGCTCGCTGGCGCTCACCAACCCCCGGAACTGCTTTCACAGTTCATTTCGGATTTGCTTCGCAATCCAATGCTCGCTTTGCTCGCTCATTGGATACGTTCTTAACGTCTAGTTTTTGTATACTTTTTTGAATACTGAAGTTCCGAAAACTTTTCACTGTAGAAAATTCTAAACATGTACATTTCAATATTAATTTGAAATTACAAACAGTTCACATGTTTTTCTTAATCACACTATTCTAAATTTCAGTTGTTGAGAAAAGTAACTGTTGTAAGTTTTGTTTTAAAGTCTTTCCCACCAGAGGGCTAAAGCCATGTGTTGTAAAACAATATGA